TTTTTTTTTTTTTTTTTAGCACATATGCTATTTTCCCCAAAGCAAAAGAAATCTCACCGGATTGGTTTAGAAGGTCCTTCTGACCCGTCCATCTCATAAGAGAAAATACGATCCCATTTAAACTGTAGTTTCCAGTCAAAAATTCCCCTTACGAGGGGGAAGGGCTTATACTCCAGAGTTATGTGGTCAATGACATCTATCAGTGGGCACACCACCATTTTGGGGTCCTTGGCAATGGCTTTCAGCAAAGGCTCCAGCCATACTGTGTTCACTTCACAGTGGCTATCCAGGAACACCAGAACATCACCTGGGGAGGAAGAAAAGGGTAATGTTAGTCCCCATGGATGAAATGTATGACAATGCAAAGTTCAGTACAATGAATATGGGTTGAACATTTACCATGCGTTTGACTCTTAAGGCATTTTCATTTTCATAGGGGGAACGCAAATTAAAAATACATGGCTTATTAGGTACAAAAATGTGGACATCACGTGCCATGGATGTTCAGAGGAAGCCAAGGAACTGGGAATTAGAGAGTGACTTGGGGAAAATTATTTTTTCTATTTCTTTTTTTCTTTTTTTTTTTTTGAGTTGGAGTCTCACTCTGTCGCCCAGACTGGAGATGCAGTGGCCACTTCTGGCCACCGCAGCCTCGACCTGCTGGGCTCCGGTGATCCGTCCGCCTCAGCCTTCCAAGTAGCTGGAACTACAGGCATGTGCTACCACGCCCGGTTGATTTTTCTCTTTTTTTGATTTATTGTAGAGATGAGGTCTCGCCAAGTTGCCCAGGCGGGTCTCGAACCCGCGGGCTCAGGCAATCCACTCACCTTGGCCTCCCAAAGCATGGGATTGCAGGCTGAGCCACTAAGCCCGGCCATTGAGCAAATTTTTACTGAGAAGATACCTTCATAGGCATTGAGTTTGATGCTTGGGATGCATAATTATTTTTCTCTTGAGTTCAAACTTTGGTGAGGGCCTATTCTGTTTCCAGGACATAGGAATAATTGGCACGCCCAAAGTGAAGAATGTGTGTGGTCAAAGTACCTTATATGGACTCAAATTAAAAGATAAGGCAAAATTCAGGTAGCATAGTTTAGACTTTTTCTTGTAGACACCATAAAATCATTACGAAAGTAAAGAAAACATCTCATGTTTAAATGAGAAGACTTAATACTGCAAAAATGGCAAGAAACCCCAAATTGATCTAAAGATTCAGTGCAATCCCTGTTGAAATCTCAGCAGGCAATTTTTGCAGAAATTGATCTTAAAATTCATATGGAAAGACAAGGAACCTGTATTAGAAAAAACAATCTTGAAAAAGAAAAACAAAGTTGAAAAGCTTCCTGATTTTAAAACTTATTACAAAGTGATAATAATCAGAACAGTGTGATACTGGTATAAGAATAGACATACAGACTAAAGGTATAGAATTGAGAATTGAGTGCCCAGAAATAAATCATATGTCTGTGGTCAACCGACGTTTTTTTTGAGATGGAGTCTCACTCTGTTACCCAGGCTGGAGGACAGTGGCATGCTCACAGCCACAGCAGCCCCAACATGCTGGGCTCAGGCAATCCTTCTGCCTCAGCCTTGCAAGTAGTTGGAACTACATGACACCTGTGCCATCGTGCCTGGCTAATTTTTTTATTTATTGTAGAGTCAAGGTCTTGCCAAGTTGCCCAGTCTGGTCTCGAACCCGTGGACTCAGGCCATCCTCTTGCCTCTACCTCCCAAAGTGCTGGAATTACAGATGTGAGCCACCATGCCTGGCTGGCCAATTGATTTTTGACAAGGGCCAAGACAACTTGATGGAGAAAGCATAGTCTTTTCTTTCTCTCCCACACTCTCTCCCACTCCCTCTCTCCCTCTTCCCTCCCTCCTTCTTTCCTCTCCTCCCCTCCCCTCCCATTCCCTTCTTATTTTTGAGGCAGGATCTCACTCTGTCACCCAGGTTGGAGTGCAGTGGTAGAATCACAGGTTACCTCAACCTCAACCTCTTGGGCTCCTGAGCCTCCAGAGTACAGGGACTACAAGCATGTGCCACCACGCCTGGCTGATTTTTTAATGTTTTCTGTAGAAATGAGGTCTTGCTATGTTACCCAGTATGGTCTCCAACTCCTAGGCTCAAGCAATCCTCCTGCCTCGACCTTCCAAAGTACTGAGATTACAGGTATGAGCTACTGTGCCCAGCCAAAAGTTTTTCCTGCTTGGACATGTGCTAAGATAGTTTGGTGCTCTTTGGGATGACTTCTCCTCTTATGGTGTGGCTGATATGGTAATTTTTTTCCTTTTCTTTTTTTTTTTTTTTGAGTCGGAG